CGAACGTTTGTTTTAATAAGGAGGTAAATGAGGTTGAAGGGTATAGGTTGAGGAACATAAGCAAAAATTAACGCTACAGGGACAAAAAGTTACCCGGAAGCATGGTATTGGTGAGAAATAATCAAGGAACTGAATATTGAAGTCCAAGGAAGCGGCAAACTGATCCTGCGTAAGTGGCAACCAATCAGAGGTAGGCAAGATTACAAACGGGTAGCGTATAGTATAAATCGTTTTGGCAGATGTCGCAAACGACGGGATATGCTAGCGTGGAAATGCAAGCAATGGGAGATGTGGAAGCCAAGTAAAAGCAAATTTTAAGCTATATGAGGATTAAACGGGAAGAATAGTGACTTTTGTTTAATTTAAGATTACATTTCTGACAAATGCGAATTACACTGGCCGACGAATGATAAAATTTGTCTTAAATTCAGCCCTTCGGGAGTAGCCGCAGGAGACAGCTTATGCGCAAACCCCATTGCATCAGGCAGCTCGCCTCCAGGGAAACTGTATAGCCGGGTGGAAGACAAAGAAGGTATGTTAAGGCAGATTTTTTAAAAGCTTTCTCTGGTTGAAGGAAACCTGTACAAGTAGTAGTTTATGCAGCTTACAACGTGTTAGGAGCTGTGCTAACTCAAATAGTAACAGCAACTTAACAGTGCTTGAACTGTTGGCTTGGTAACAAAAAACCTTTTTGTGTGTTGCAGCCCCGACACTCGCAGTGCACGACCTGTCAGGCTATTTCAACCGACGCCATACGAGGAGCTAGTGAAAACTCTTAAATCAACCGATGTGGTTTTGTACTGTCAACAGAAAGGACTGCTGCCCTCTCAGCTTCGGTACGAATGCGCAAACGTAATGGTCCAAAGAAAGCTTGCGCGGAGCGGCGACGGATTCGTTTTTTGCGTTGTGGAAAATGCCACAGGAAAAAACAATAAGGTCGAAGTCCATGTTCTTCAACAGCCGGTTAGGCTTGAGTAAGCTGTTGGGCATATGTTTGGCCTTTGTGTCCGGCAAGACTGTCAGAGATGTGGCGTCTGTCTGCGGTGTGGTCGAAATGAACGCGGGATACTGGTATGCAGCATGCCGAAACGTGTGCTCGCATGCACTCCTG